GATTTCAGAAGATTGAGAGTAATCTTGATGCAGACTTCGTCTACATCTATGTGCTACGTACATTCAAACTGTTACACTTGTCTTATGCTCCGGGGCGCCATTTTGCACGTTAAGGTGTCTCCGAATAGTCACCATTTAAGCTTAAACCGATTTTTACCGAGTACCATTTACTGTGATGTTAATGGATGGTGCAAATGTTAGTCATGTAATTCTACTGACCTCAGGGCGAACCAGTTCTGAAAGCTCAGTTTTAGAGTTTGTTCTAGAATGCACCTGCAACACTGCGCTTCACTTTGCCGAGTAGATATTGGATGAAAGACAGATGTTAGGAATTTATGCTTGCGCGTGACAAGCTTACCTAATAACTTCCATATTATAGCCAGTGTGAATACTATTTTGTACCAATCAACATTTTTCCTCCCGTGAATAAAAGACGAAAACAGGGCCATGGACGCGGAGCGAGCTATCAGGAGCGTTTAGAGGCTATTGAGAGAGCAGTCACCTCTGTCCGCGTTCACCTCCGAGACACAGACCTCTTGAGGAGGGGAATATCAGAAGGCCGACACACTGTTGCAGTTTTCTTGAAGAGACAGAGGGGGCCGATGGTGTCCCGCCGGTGGAGCAACACTTGGCCCACTCAGCCCGCCGCGGACAAGTACTGGTGGGCTCCAACACTTTGGGACGCTGTTTCAGCGAGGGCCCGCCGTACCGCCGGCGCAGGAAGGTCTCCGTTTCAAGAGAGCGGCCGAGTGCGGAAGATGAGGATAGGGTGACTCGGTCCGGGAGTTATGGGATGTGTGTCAGCCGAGAGAAAGGAAAAAAGGAGAAAGAAAGGAGTTCGCTGGACCGACTTGTCTCGAGCGCCGAGCTGTGAGGTGAGGTGACTTTCAATGGATATCCTAGATCGCAGTAGGTGGATCAGGTCTGACTCTGTGATGAGGCAGTCTTCTTGCTTGGAAACCCCTCATGGGCAGAAAACAAGCACAGGTCCCAGCAAGAGGCTGCCCGACAATGTGGTGCAGCAAGCCTATGATAATGCATTACAACCCTGCATAGAGTATCACCGCTTCTGGTTAAAAACATTAACATTCACAGACTCCTGAAACTCGAAGTACAGTCCTGTGCGTCCCCGCATGGCATGGCTTGAGAAATCACCCAATGCCAACTTGGAGGGCGAGTGACTGAGAGACTAAACTCTTAACCGTGGCGTCGCTTTCGTTCCTCGTCCGTCTTCCACGCACCACGCTACTTTTTTTCTTGTTCCTCGGTTTTGTTCACTTCAGCTATCCTCTGTGTCCCGTCCGTCTATGCTCGTGACGCTGAATGTGCGGAAATCAAATATTTAGGTACAATGTTGTACCTTGACTAACTCGTTGCCTGTCAACAATAATTTGGTGCCACGGGTTTTACAGACCTCAGGTAACCTTTTTGGTAACTTTTTTTTAATCCAGTTCGTAAGTGTGACGTCACTTCAGTTTAAACCACGCCCACTGCACATGCACTGCACATAGAGTTACATGCACTGATCGCCGTTTACATGTACATGGAACCGGAAGTTAACGCACAACTTCAGCAATCGTCCTATGGGAGCCTGCAAATCGTGGCGCGTCCGCGTGTATGACGAAGTCACTTAATACGAACCGGATTACTAAAGGCCATGACCAAACAGACGGTTTTTAAAGAAGATTCAAGTTCAAGAAAGGAATCTGCATAATATGAAATCCACTGGTTCTTTATAAGTGTAATGAATGAGTGAGACATTGCGTGGAAGAGTGTTTTGGGCACCTGCACCAAGTCAAGCTGAATCTGGAGACCTTCCTACATTCTGCAGGAGTTGGTTTCATAGTATTGGGAGAGTGTTTGGCCTTTGAACGACACCCACAAACGAGGTACAAGGCGGATTTGGATCCGGTTCATTGAGTCACACGAACTCTGTGTGGTTCCAGATGTCAAGGCAATAGAATGAGAGGAATCGCCACGGCCGGGCCGTTTATAGATCTCCATATTCTGACGACTGAATTCGATTCCGCTTGCCGGCTGATCCCGGTTCCAGATGGCGAGAGATGGTGAGTTTACCCACGGAAAGCCCAACGGCTCAGCTATCGCCCGCTCTAATGAAGCACTGACATAATATGTGAAAACCACAGAACCGTGTACGAATAATTACCCAGAGAGTAATACCGATTTCTCTGCATTTCAATAGCAAATGTAGGTACCTAATGTGATATAACGTGATGGCATGAAAGAAAGTTCGACGGAACTAACTGCGCATAAACTCATGCATGACTTGTGCATAAAATCCCATTTCATACATCTCTTCGACTGTGCCTTCGTGTTTGTCGTTGGCACAAATTACCAAATTAATATGAAACTTTGTGGCAGAATGATTGTATATTACTTCTGACAAAAAAAGGCATTGCACTGAAGATGTTAGTTTTCAATGCACGTAATTAACATACCATTCTGTTTTACGTGTAAGATCCATTAAATGTGTAACCACATTTAGTAGAATACTTACAGGCCCCCTATTGTGTAATTATATTTTCACGTACGATTTGGAAGACCAAAATAAAATTTCGTACTCGATATATCACATCTTTATTTTCAAGTGTTCAGTTCAAAAATTTCTAAACCACGACCTTGCTCACCTCACTGCAAGTGGACAAGTGGTAGTCAATAAAAACACGTTAATTAGCCAAAAGTAAAAGTAGTTTGACGACGCCGCCAAGTGCCCCCAAATGATAATTTATGATTGTTGCGCGGTGTGTGTCTATTTAGCACAGCTGCTACATGAAATTACCATGTTGAATAAATTGACTCGGGGAACAGATGTGGCGGGAAACAACTCAAAACACATCAACAGCTTGGTTGCACCATCTCCTGGTGGACAAATCCAGCTCCTTCTTCGTGTGTGCTTGAATGCGTGTGGCGCATGGGCACGTGCTATTACAAATCGCCAGGTACAGTTTTATAGTCTTGACTAAAGCCGACAAATGCAAATACAGATACAATCATTGGGCGAATTTAATCCTGATTTTTGTTCTGTGAGATTTCGAATGCAAAACGTGATACGATGTAATCGTAATTATATCCAGGGAGACGACACGATAATTGCTGGACGGTGCAGCGATTTTCCAGATGAGCTCAAACAGGTTTAGTAACTGGCATTCTTGACGATAAATTTTGGAGACTAAAAGATGTGGCGGGAAAACAGTTCAACGGCCAGACCATACTGGGTCCAAGATTATTACGACTAGCCAATGCAAGAAATTAGAACGAAACATTCACATTACACTGTGCTTATTAATTGCGTAAACCTAATTTTAATGACTGACGTATTTGACTGCTGTGACGACCGAATCACCCACAGATCTCCGAGTCTTGCGATAGATTGGTACTTTTGAACCTCCAAATTAAACCATGACGCTTTGCAGGGAACCAGACAAAATGGCCACCGCATTTTAAAAATCGTAAATCGCCCTGATCATCTGTTTACCGATGTGAAACGGAACCCCACGAAAGAATCTTGGGGCCTGAAAAGAAAGACCCACCAATTTTGCGCCAGCTTCATTCGCCTTACACCTTATCAAGGGTGCTCAAGGCAGCCTTGCCACCCATGTCGTACACGTCCATAATTACATTCAATTACCCGGTGCGACATCACCTTTGACCTTGGCAGAATAACAACATATTTCATTGAGAGACGATTTCGGGTCGGCCTTTTACAAGTGAATTTTTCTCTTCAAGTGGGCCCTGACTGGTTGCCAGGGAGCGGCGCGTAGTCTGGTGTACTGAATGTTAGTAAACGTTTCGATTTATTGTGTGGGTGCGCGGGGGAGGAAACTTCACGGGGGCCACGTGCCACGCACAATACGCGACTTTCATTGAGCTCTTTTTTGGCGGGAAGGATTTTGTAGCGAGCGAAACCTCTGCAAAATGTTGCGGGTAATAGTTTTACCCCGTAACTGCGATCTTTTTAACGGGACGTTAAGAAAGTTTATAGGCGTGTGGATCGGTGAAAGGGCTGTACGCCGGGGCTTGGTTGCGGTGTGGCCTGGGCAAACACGAAGCGGTGTCTCGGATCCTGGGATACAAGAGACGCGCACGCGATCGCTTGTATAAATGGGGGTTGACTTAGGGAGAGGGTTCCGGCCCGATGTTGTCTTGGTGTATCTGTCACGGGGGGACCTGGACTTTACTACCGCGTATGCGGTAAAAGCGGACGGATGGATGGACGAGGCTGTTGCAGGTGCATGGGTCGATCGAATAGACCTCGCCGAGGTAGGAATTCGGAGGGGGTGTCACTCAAGATAGGGCCCTTTATAAGTGGTGAGAATCCGTTTCAAAACCTCATACAGACTTGGATGGAAAAGAAGTCTGTCATATACCGTCATTAAACCATACCTATAACGTCATTAACCATACGTATATCAGTCAATATATGTCTTGGCCTATTGGCGGATGATACCCTCCATCGAGTTTACCATGAAGTCTGAAAATATGGCAGGCGGCAAAGATACTCAGACAAATGTGAGTTCATGTCTTACGAAAGACAAAAAGCTTGCTTGATGTCTACAAGCAAGAACTATTGCATCTGATGCAAGTACATGTAGCTGAAGTACATTTTGCTGCTTGAACAGCTTATGCAAATTTTATGCAAATTTACCGTCAGCTCATTGCCAAACTAAAAGCTCCATTTACAAAACGTACATTCAGCTAAAATGAGATTAAAACAACATAAACCTGATTGCTTCATCCTGTCCTGCTTATTTGGTTGTCTTAAGTTCGAAGTTACGACCGCTTGGGATCGAATACACATACTGTGAGAGTTAAAGGTCTAAGCGTACGCTACTGGATAAGGTAAATAGGCCTATGCATATTCATATGGCTGAATGCTCATTGGACGAAACTTCGACTGGGGCGTGGTAACAGATCCTAGATTTGTTTCACCGGTCGTAAATACTGAAAAAATACAGATTACATGTATAATGAAGACTCACCTCTTGGCAAGGGGTACGGGTAGCCTGATATATAGTCCAAACTTTAGAGTTCAAACTTTCACGACTACTGAAAATAAAAGCAAAAGTGAAAGTAGTTAGATCGTCCCATGGGAAGTACATGTAAATAGTCTATAAACAATTTCTTATTTTTTCCTTTGTTGGTGATTTGGGTCTCTTCCACTAACGAGGGAAGTAAATAGCCAATTGATAAAGTCGGCTTCTCAATAAATTGAGAATATCCACACGTGGACGACCACATGCACAGTACTGTCAATCATGGAAAGACTTCTCAGTGTCTTTTCATGTGTGCTGCTTGATGTGATTGCTGTTTTTCGGTCTTTCTATATTAGATATGTCGTTAACATTGGACAGTGCTTATTGATCGGTTTACTAACGCGGCAGTTTTAGGGAGACCTTTCATTAAAGTCGACGACCCAAAAATTTGCGTCATATTTTAATTCGATCCTGGATTGTGGTTTGTTTTTCCTCTCATTCTTTTCTCTTCAACCCAGGAATGAAATCCCGATGTACTTTTTCTTCTGGATCGTGAATGCTCCAGTGCAGACTTGTCAGGCTTGCTCGGTCGGTCGTGCGTACTGACCCTAGCAACCGCTGAGGAGCTTCTTGATCTTACTGGCAGCCTAGCCTTGCATGGCAAGAGTTTTATTTATTTGTTATTTTTTTCGCGCTTTATCTTGGCGGGAAAAAATTGCGGTCAGCCGAATTGTAAATCAACGACAGGATGGGCGCTGACAGGGATTTATGGGGAAAAGAGAAGCCTGGGAAAGCTGTGATCGGGGAGGAGAGGGAACTACGTTCAGTTTGCATATTTCTTCTATGAAGATTGAGTATGACTACACCGCGTTGTCCACAAGGTTTCCACAATAGATATAACATTAAGAAATGTCTCCAACCATTTGGATTCTACATGTGTGGTCACATTCGGTTGACGTTGCACTTAACGCACACACACGACCTGCGCATATCAACGTGGTACCATTCCACTTTAGTTTTGGATATTCCTCAATGTCTTTTTCCCTAAAACTTTGCCACTACCGTTTCATGTAAATTGGGGGGGGGGGACTTTACAGCACAATCGCTGACAGGAAGAATGACCCAAATTTCTAACTCAAGCAATAAAGGTCGTACAGGCTTGAGACCCATGCTCATCGATTAAAAAACACACACACAGAACACTGCTTCAACAAAATGGGTCAAGGATTATACTGGTGTTAAAGTAATGACGTCATATCAGGGGGACAGACGCTGTCTTCTGGAGCTTACAGCCAACTATTTGGGTAACTAGAGTAAAGTTTCCCTGTCGGCCGAGTTCCTAGCCACTTATCTAAATGGTAACGTTTTGACTGATGTTCACTGCAGGTGTACCAACAATGTGTAGAGTAAAGCTGAAAGTGTCCTCAAAGCCAAAAACAAAGACCCAGTGGTTGAGGCTAATAATGTCTATCGGTCCGAGATAAGGAATTGCAATTACCCTCAACACTCACACGTACACCCCCCCACGAAAAAATCAAATCAAAATATGAAATTAAAATGAGGCCTCTGGAACGTGATTATACATTGTGGGTTGGTGTAGTGTATACGTTCGATAATCCACTCGACACCGCATGGGCCCAAGTCGGCGATTACGGGGCCCGTAATCAAGTCAGGCAGTGAGCGGTGGAGTGGCCGGCCCTCGACTCGCCCGGCAATTGCGCGAGTTGCAATAAGCCGTCGTTCTGTCGGTCCGCACACCGTGTTTGCCAAGGACTCGAAGCCGCTGGAACGCGGGACTAGCGCGATGATTAGTTGGTTGGGTATACGGGGGAGGGCTGGGTGGTTTTTGTTTCTCGTTCCCCGGACGGATCTCAAATGTCGTGAACTCCCTTCCAACAGTATACTCTTCCCGTCTGAATGACGGCAATGAACCCGTCATGACGGGAATGAACCGGTCATATCAAAATCTTGTGTTATACTGGCTTCAAGTCAATGTATGCAAAACGGTAGCTTCCAATTTTAGGATGATTTTATGATGAAATCCAAATTCGCTAGCTACGCTGACAAAACTTTGGTGTTAATCTAACAACGCGTAATATCTATATTCGACAAAATGATGAAAGTACCGAGCGCTGTGGTACATGTATATATGCAAATTGTGGTGTCTGTATCGAATTCAATGTATTTTGGGCAACAAACTTGTAAGCCTTTTTTCCAGCTCATTTGAAAGCTCGCCGAAGTTTTGAAACTGTCGAGAGGATCTACAGAATACAACCGTTATGCAATAAGACAGTGTCCCTTGTTTGTATTTCCATCTGAATTTCCAGTAGTTCTCTCTTTGACTTTTCAGTCTGCACGAACATGAAGTGCAGAGAACGAGACGTTTTGCATTCTATTTAGATACATGTACTTTCTTGCAAGAGCCAGAGTTTAGTCTTCTCCCTCTTAAGGTTCAAAATCAGAGCTGGACCAACAGTTTCCAGGTTCAATGGCATCAGTCTAGTTAATGACAGCATGACACACCGAGTTGTCGGTCATAATTGACCAATAATTATCGAGTATGTAAATAGCTCAAGCGGAGCTCTGTGTACCAAATCGCGGGCACAGAAGACAGGGGACGTCGAGAAAAAAACCTTTATTCAAGCTCACCAAAATGATGGCATGAACTAGGCAGTTAATTGGTGCGTGCATGGTCCGTGTTATAAGTAAGCTTGGCCAATCTAACAGTGACTAATAACACACATTACAGAGCGATTAATGTCTATTAAATTGGCAGTGTTGTAGTACGTTATTGGATTCGCGTGAAGTGAGGGGTACTGACAATTCGGTGGGAAACGGAGAAACATCACTGCACGTGGTCGAGTTTCTTCAACTACATGTAATGTACTACTTATCTCGGCTCCTGTCAAACTGTACATTACACAGTTGAGGCCAGTAAAATCAACGTGGCGGTCATGTCTTATCATTCACCATAAGACATAAAGGTAGAGCGGCGTTACAGAGGTTTATATACGAACGATCAACAATAAGGATGTTGACTGTCTCCCCAACAACTTCATTCTTAACAGCGGGAAGCATCGACTCCGACCCAGACCCGCTGCGGTTTATGCAAACACGAGAAGCCGGATCACAGTGCTGATGACTGTCATATTTCAACATCACTCACACAATTACCCGTCCGTGAGTCGACGGATCTTTTGGACCCGAGCGAGCGATATTACTTTCTACAGCGAACCGGTAATGACACCCGGAATCCACTGGTTCAACATGTCCTTTGTGACAGACCCGATCCTAACGACCAACTAACCCTCAATTACAATACTACCTCCAAAACAAGTGCAAAGGAGAACAACCGTTTCTTCATAAAAACAAGAGTTCAAAGGGAAGCATCAACAAGAAGACAACCAGGAAGGAATTTTCTTTTTTTAAAAGAAGCATTTGAACTTTAGACGAGGAACGAGATCTGCTCGGCCACAACAGCTAGGCCATTTAAGAAGATTAATCAAACAGTTCGGATCTCCCTCTCGTCTCTCCTGGTCTCTTTGCCCCTCATCAGCTGTTACACAACTCGCCAGAGTCTCATTACCCGTGTAGACCTTGCCACTCTTGATTACCAAATGTATGCACGATGCGCCCGCGTAATTGAGATTATATGAGGAGATGTCAGAGCCCGTTCACGGGCCCGTTTGTAATACTTCCCTCGATGTTATTACTGCCATGGCCTGATTTTTATTTACTTTTAAACCAAAAAAGTCGCGGGGAGGGAGAATCTTGACAACATAATTCCTGGATACTTTACACTTGAGACTAGCAATCAGTCAGTGCAACCTTTCAGGTAGATTCAAAATTTGGAATTTGGAACTCAAAGCTGTCAGGAGAGTCAAAAAGACTTTTCGGGTGACGTGGACTGTGGAATATCGCACGGTGCATCTCCTTATACAGCTATACCTAGCGGTAAGACCGTGACGACTTGTTTATAAACGCCAAGCCACGAGTACCCAAAGAATGTGAAGGATCCCAGACGTGGGGGGAAAGTGCCACGCTTTGGTAAAATGTCTACACCAAGACAAATCTACATTATGACAAAAAATCAACGGAAGATTTCTCACAGTGTAAGGAGATCCCCTTTGAACGATTTTTTTCCAAATGCGAAAAAAAACCAATATTTACCCGGCCGGGCCATATTTATTTAAAGATATCCTTTGTAGATAAAATAGCCCGAACTGTTCGAATACTAGGCATTGACCGAGATGTTAGAATGAGGGAAAACTGCATAGCTTTGGTAAAAAATATGAAACCGAATATGCTGGTAATCTAATCCGTTGGTTTCCATGCCGGAGTAAAGGATGTATGGCACAAGTAGTAAAAAAAAGTCTACCCCTTTTTGGAGTGAATTCACGGTCTTTCCTGCCGAACACGGCGAGATATCAGGCCAGACTTTGATAGCTGAGTCAACAAGAACCGACGGGCAAGGGGGGGGTCGAGTCAGAAACCGGAGCGGCTCTTGCTTTCTCAACGGCAGAGAAATCTGACAGCGGATGGAAGGGGGGAAAAGGAGGCACCGATCAAACTGTGTTATTCCAGCGCCCGGGCTCTGACAAGAGAAGAGCGACTCCCGCAGAAAATTCTCTCGGCGGTGAGGGTTTTCTTGTGAGTGTGGACATTTTTTGGAAGGCAGGTTTCATACGGTTGAGCTGGTTCTGATCCGCTTATTAAAGTCCTAATTTGACGAAGAGGAAGTCGGGCGAGGGAGCTCGGACACGGAGAGGTCGTGAACCCCGTCTCATAAACGGTCTTTAAGTCTCTCCACGTTGTTTCTTTACATTTCCTCGAGGATTGGTGTGAAGTTGACACGAGGTCACTGTAGTCTTACTCGTCGATGATGGAAATGCGTCTGATAACTAGGAATCTCTTCTGACTGACTACGAGAAGTGGTTTTTAGAGTAACTTTCCGTCATTACACAGTTTATTTCAAGAGGCATGATACAGAGCATCACACATGATAGGTTTTTCCAGGCCAAAGTGCACCACCGTTTCGAATTTCTATATCACTGGCATTTTTTTGAAAAG